TGTGTGTGTGTGTGGTGTCTGCATAATTTGGGTGAACGTTTACAGAGCAAATTGGTTTTCCATTCAATAATCCATGCACACTCTGTTTTGTGAGATTTACTGCAATCCCCACACTGTAACAGCATTCTTCACACTTCCTCCTTGCACCTACCCCTTCCCTTTCCCCTTCTGTCCCATCCCCTCCCACCTTCTTAGCTCTGTCCTTGGGCAAATGCTATCCTCTTCATCCCATATGCTTCACTGTTCTAATTAATGCATGCCCTCCTGATGTGACTGTTTACCATATAGGCCCATCTGTCATTTGGCTTCCAGCTGAATGACAGGGATTAAGCTGAGTTCCTAGCTTGAAGGGTGCTAAAGGCATAGTCTCAGGGATTCTATCAGTCTTTATCAGAGCAGTAAGCCTGTCTTTTCATGATTTTGTGTTTTGTTCTACATTTCACACACACACACACACACACACACACACACTCTCTCTCTATTTTGTGACCTCTTAATGTAATCCCTTTCAGAACGGTCAGCAGTGGTAGTTCTGGTCTCAGGGTCATGGAGGCTGAGAGGTTCACTTGTTCCTCTAGTCCTATGCACTGTTTCCTTGCATCTTTGATTTTCTTCACTCTTCTTTGCTCTGGACAGGAAAAGACCAACAGTTGCACCTCAGATAGTTGCTCACAAGCTTTTAAGACCCCAGTTGCTATTCACCAAAGTAGGATGTAGAACACTGTCTTTTGTAGAATATGTTATGCCAATTGATTTCACTGTCTCCTAAGACTATGGTCCTGAGCCTCCATACCCAGTGATTCATTCCATCAAAGCGTTTGGTTATGACTAAAACATTTTCATAACTTTGTCTCCTATATGTTCTAGTACACCCATAGATATATCTGAAGCACATATAAATACACAGGTCCTTGATGTCATCCCACAACTTGTCCAGTCTTTGGCCACTGGTGTTCAATGCATCACATGAACTCTTCAGATGATCTCTAAATTCAGTTGGGGTATACTCAAGGTCATACTTTAGCTCTCACAGACTTGTTTTAATTTAATTTTTCTTCAGATTCAACTTCAATTTCCATATGAACAGTTGATGATCTTCCACAATTGGCCCCTGGCCCTATTCTCACTAATGATAATGAACTTCTCCATCATCTCTCTGGACAGATCCTATGCTCTGATTCCTGTGTATTCATCATGGAATACACAGGTCCACATGTCGTCATTTATGCTGTTGAAAAAGGGTATTTGCAATGAATAAGTGGCTGGTCTGCAAAATTCTACCATGCGATCTCCAGTGTCATTTCTATCACCAAGGCCATATTTTCTAGCTACTAGTGATTCTTCTGTTTCCAACTTTCGCATTCCAATTACCAGTAATTATCAATGCATCTTGATTGTATGTTTGGTCAATTTCAGACTGCAGATGTTGGTAAAAATCTTAAATTTCCTCATCTTAAGCTTCAGTGGTTGGTGTGTAAATTTGAATAATAGTTATTTAACTGTTCTTCTTTGTAGGCCTATGGATATTATCCTATCACTGACAGCACTGTACTTCAGGATTGTACTAAAATCCACTGTCTTCGAGTCAATCCCAACTCACAGTGACCCTATAGGACAGGACAGAACAGAACTACCCCACAGAATTTCCAAGGCTGTTAATCTTTACAGAAGCAAAGTGCCTCATTTTTCTCTCACAGAGTGACTGGTGAGTTTGACCACCAACCTTTTGGTTAGCAGCCAAATGCCTTAATCACTATTCCACTAGATCTTGAAATGTTCTTTTTGACAATGAATGTGATACCATTACTCATTAATTTGTCACTCTTGGCACAGCAGACCATATGAGTGTCTGATTCAAAATGGCCAATACCACTCCATTTCAGCTCACTAATGCCCAAGACACTGGTCTCTGCATTCCACTTCATTTTTTACAAGTCCCTATTTTCCTAGAGTATTTGCAGCTGTGCCTTCTCATTTGGAGTTATGACACATCAGAAAACGAAGGTCTCAAAAGCTTTACTCCACCTACATCAGTAAGGGGAACTCTACTTCAAAGAGGCAGCTCTTTCCCAGTCATATTTTGAATGCCTTCCCACATGAGGGTCTCATCTTCTGGCACTATATTGGACAATGTTACACAGCTACTCATTCAGGTTTTCAGTGGCCAGTTTTCTCAGAAGTGGACCTGGCAATGTTCTTCTTCCTAGTTATCTTTGTCTGGAAGGTCCACTGAAACCTGTCCAACATGAGTGACCCTGCTGGTGTATGAAATAACAGTGGCATAGCTTCTAGCATCACAACAACATGCAAGCCACAACATTACAAAAAACTGACAGACAAGTGGTGGATGATGATAATAAGAGTATCTCATTTTCACAGGGCTGTTGTGAGGATTGAAACAGTGTTAAGTACAGATTTAGTATGTAGTAAGTGATGCATAAATGATAGCTACTAGTGCTTATAACAACAGAATATCATACTACCTAACCCATAGATTCAGGTTCAGTGAGTAACACAACCAGCTTTTATCTCACCTCTATGGCCCCTTCTAAAACAAAGTTCTAGTTCTTTAAAATCCACCACCACCACCACCACCTATACTTAGCTACTAGTTTTATTCAATCTTAATTTTAAGCATTTCATGTGAACACTGACTATTTTCTGTGGGCTAAATGATGTCACAAAGGTTCTCCTTATACTTGACCTATATCTTTTTTAAACTATTCTTATTATGACCTTTCTTATTATATAAACATTTATTATGGAACCAAATACCTAGGTTATTCAACCTTTCTCCTGTTGATTCACTTCTCCCCTTCTAAACACATTCAAGTTGACTCTGGTGATTATTTCTTCTAGGATTCTCTGTGAGGTAAACACAAAAGTGTAGGAAGCTAAAAGAATTTTAAAAAATAACGTTGCTGCTCTGAAAAACACTGTTGTTGTTGTTTTTGTTATATGCCGTCGAGTCGGACCCGACTCATAGCAACCCTCCTTGGGTTTCCAAGGCAGTATCACTACGGAAGTAGATTGCCTCATCTTCCTTCTGAGGAGTGGCTGGTGGGTTTGAACCGCCAGACTTCTGGTTAGCAGTCAAATGCCTTAGGCACTATGCTACCAGAGCTCCCATGAAAAATACTACATCAACCCAAAAGTTCTCCTTCAAGAAAAAGAGAAAAATATGCTTCACATTAAATGTATAGCTAACATTTCATATTCTCAACTATGAACAAAATAATCAGTCCATAAGGTATACATTTACTAAAAGCTTTCAAAACAAGAAGTTAAGCATGGGAAATTTTCTACAGGTAATAAATTAACACCATTTTCCCAAAGAAAGCTATGTTAGATCATTTCCCCCTTGAAACACATAGAAGAAAGAAAAGATTGGCTTGAGCTCCTAAAAGGATCTAGATGAGGAATATAATTTCAGGGGGGTACAGAAGACAAGTTCTTCCTTTTAATTCACACCACATTTTAATCCTGTTCACTCAGAAGGCCAGGCCAGCTAAAACAAGAATTTATTATAAATTATATACCCACCTGCAATTCACACCAAGCAACCTCAACCCATGTTTCTGTGTCCAGTCCTTTATATACTGTTTTAAATGCTCCTCTTCCCAGCTCTATGTCAAATTTTAGGAATCTGCCACTAGGAGAAGTAGCCACAGCCTTCATTTCTGCTTCTTCTTCCATTTCCTTTTCATTTTTCTCCTTGAAACAATCTTTCGAGGATTCTGAAAGTATCTTTGAACACTGTTTGTATTTAACTTCTTGTCCACCTCTTAGCACATTTGTAGGAAGTTTATCTACTCTTTGAATATTTGTTGAAGACTTTATTCTCTCATCTTTGGGGGACGATTCAGCAACTTTGTCATCTTCCATCATCTCAACACTCTTTCGGAAAAATCTCTTCCTTTCCACAGTTTCCCCAGAAGCAGAGAAAGTACTGCTTTTTTCCTTTAGTCTAGCTTGTACAGTCAAAGCTGCAGCAACCTGAGGAATTATGTTTTCTAATGAAACTCCATCAGGTTTCTCAGAATCTTCTGTGCTAGCTGGCTCTCCTGAATCAGTAGCCATTGTAATTAATGTTGGCACTAGTTTTTTTTTTCCTGTTGTACAAGATCTTCAGTCCAGTTATATTTCAGACATCAGAATTATGAGAATGAACTTCCTTTTTATGTTCATATATTTCCATAGCAACCTGAAGAGGAAAAAAAAGGGATATTTTAAAATCACCCACAAAGGAAATCATTAAAAAGAAAACAAGTCACCTGATTTTTTTAATCCTTTTTCCTTAATAAGAAGTTTATTCTTTTTTCTATCCAATCTTAGCAACCAACAGACCCCAGGGAATGTTCCTTATCTTGTTTATCACTATAGCCCTCAGTGCCTAGCAGACTACTTGGCATAATTATAGTTCTATAAACCGTCAACTGCATGAATGTTGATGTTGGTTAGGAACCTACTTCAAACAAGTACCCAAAGCCTGATTTTTGTCTAAAATTCTAAAATTAACACATAGTAGTTTTGAATAAAACAAGTACTTGTTTATGATCTTGCCTTCAGATTTTATGGAAAGAAACTACTGTCAATATTTATATACTACACTAAAAGAATGACAAGAAAGATTTAAAATATGCATCCAGCAAGAATTCTTTGAACCAGTCAGAATCTGTGCAGAAAAATTCATTCTGCAAAGATGTTCATGCTTCAAAGGCATTCATTCTAGCACGTAAAACTTGGAAAATCTGAAACCAAACAGAAGCCTAAAAGGGGCTGACTTATCTCACCATGAGTTATGATACATCATTAAAAACACCACTATAGATTTTGGTGAGATGAAAATACATCATTTCCTTTATATGATTAAATGAAAGAAAGGAATAGGTAAAACAAGCTTCCATGTTTAAAAGTAAATAATTCATATATAAGTGTGTGCATATATATGCATGTGCATATATGAACACTTTTGTGTCAATATATGTAAGACTAGGAGAAACAGGGGCTATTAAATCGGAATAGTGGGATTACAGACTTTTTCTGTCTTCCTATTTCACTGTTTTCTAAAACTTCTCACAATATACATGTACGACATCTGTATATAAGAGCTCTGGTAGCGTAATGCCTAAGGCACTTGACTGCTAACCAGAAGGTTGGCAGTTCAAACCCACCAGCCACTCCTTGGAAGGATGATGGGGCAATCTACTTCCGTAGTGATACTACCTCGGAAACCCAAGGAGGAGTCACTATGAGTCAGGTCCGACTCGACGGCACATAACAACAACAACAACATCTGTATATAAGGAAAAAAAAACATTTTTTCAAAAAGTGGATGGTCAAACCAACAAAAAGAAAATTCTTCCCTTCTCAGGAGCACAAGAGTTAACGGCAACAAAAGGGAACAGTATTACATATACAATCCTGCAATAATATCAATGACAATAATTTAGGTGTAGATGCACAGACAGACCCTCAAGCTGAACACAGGTGTCTCTACCTATACATTAATGTCTGCTGTAAATATATCCATGACTGTAGAACATACAGGGATGACAAAGTTACAAAAATGTTTTAGTCATAACCAAACACTTTGGGGATTTTTTTTTTGGGGGGGGGGCACTATCTTTTTCTCTTCTTCTTTTCTTATTGTGTTTTGGGTACAAATTTACAGAGCAGAATTTGTTTTACGTTGAACAGTCCATGTACACTTGGTTTCACTCCCCGATTATCATCCCAAACCCTAACCCACTCTCCTCCTCTTCCTTCCCTGTGACGCTCCCCATCCCTGTGCCCTTCTTAGTTATACACTTCCATCTGTCCAGCTTTTCCCCATGTGAATGGTCCCTCTCTGGTGCCCCTTGACCGATTGCTCCAATGGGTTTATCTCCATATAGTAGGTAGGTGCATCAACATGAGTTGGTGTTCTGCATGTAAGTCTAACTACTGTTGGGCTGACAGCCAGTCCCGGGGAGTGAGTTCTATGCCAGGCCCAAAGTGTATCCCAGAGTCATAGTCTTAGGGGTCCAACCAGACTCCATCTGACAAATAATTCTGGTTGTTACCATGCTTTTGAATTTTGTTCCATGTTTTTCTTCCCACTCTATACAGGATCTCCAGTTTTGATCACGTCCCAAGTGGTTGGCATTGACAGCCAGGTACCATCTAGTTCTTTTGATCTTGAGATCCAACATACTCTGAGGCTGATTGTTTCCAATTGCCCTTAGTTTTCTTCACTCTTCTTCGCTTCAGATGTGAGGAGACCATTAGCTACATCTTACACAGCTGTTTGAAAGTTTTTAAGACCCCACTCGCTATTCACCAAAATAGGTTGTAGAACAAGATTTTTATGTATTTTGTGGTGCTAACTGAGCCTGGTGTCCCCCAGTACTATGGTCCTAGGTCGGCAGACCCAGTGGTTCTCTCTCCCAAGGTATCTGGCTGTCTCTGAGGGATTACACCAAGTCTGTCTTCTGTTGCTTGTGTAATGATGTGGTTATTTTGTTATCACTAGTATCTGTGCAAGCCCATCCTCAGCTAAATCTATCATTGGTCTAGGGTATATTCCTGTTCGCCAACCACCATCTGATCTTCTCAGTTGTCTATGCATTTATTTATAGTCTTGCATTTGGTGTTAGTGGTAATGCACTATTGTGCATATACTGGTATTAGCCTCTCTCATCTATATCTTATGTGCACAATTCACATAACCAAACACTTTGATGGAATGAATCACTAGGTACTGGGGCTCAGGACCAGAAATCTCTGGAGAAACAAAGGTTAATTGGCATAGCATAGTCCATAACATACATCCTACTTTGGTGAATAGTGACTGGGGTCTTAAACGCTTGTGAGCAGTCACCTGAGGTGCAACTACTAGTCTCTCCCCATCCAGAGGAAAGAAAAGTAAAGAAAATCAAAGATACAAAGAAACAATTAACGGAGCAAATGAACCTCAGACTCCATGATCCTGATACCAAAAGAACTTGATGGTACCCAGCTACCACTGATGACTCCTCTGGAAGGGATTACATTAAGAAGTCCCAAATAGAATGTGTGTGTGTGTGTGTGTGTGTGTGGCAGGGGAGGGGAACTGTGGAACAAAACACAAAATCATTAAAAAGACAGGCTTACTGGTCTGATAAAGACTGATGGAATACCTGAGATTGGCCTTCAGAAAACCCATTTCATGCTATAAACTGAACATACGCCTGTGACTCAACTGGCAGTCAAATGATAGAAAGACCTATAAGGTGAATAGTATTATCACAAAGGCATGCATTAATTAGAACAAGCAAGCATATAAGATCAGGAGGACAGTATTTTCCCAGGGTTAGAGCTAGGAAGGTGGGAGGGGATGTGAAGGAAGAACAAAAGGAAGAGGTACGAGTAGGGAAGAACTGCAAAGATTGCTGCTACAGTGTGGGGATTGCTGCATATGTCACAGAACAGAATATTTATTGATTGCTGAACAGGAACCAATTTGCTCTGTAAACGTTCACCCAAGTCACAATTTAAAAAAATAAATTCTTCCCTTCTTAGCACAAACTTAAGCCTGTATACCTATTATTACGTTAAGTGCCTTAAAACATGACCAAATTAAACCCATTGCTGCTAAGTTGATTCCAATTCATATCAACCCTTTAAGTCAGAATGGAACTGGCCAACAGCACTTGGAAGGCTATAGACTTTACAGAAGGAGCCTTGTTGTCAAAAGTAATTGATTGGCTGCTAACCTAAAGGTCAGTGGTTCAAATCCACCAGCTACTTCATGGCAGAAAGATGTGGCAGTTTGCTTCATTAAAGAGTACCACCTTGGATACCCTATGGAGCAATTGTAGCCCATTCTATATGGTCACTATAATTCAGAATGAACTTGACTACAATGAGTAATCTTTATGGAAACACACTTCCACATCTTTGTCCCACGAAGCAAAGAGACTGCTGAAAAAGAAATAAGGAAATCAATACAGTTTACAATAGCTACCAAAAAAATAAAATACCTGGGAATAAACCTTCCCAGGGACACAAAAGACCTGTACAAAGAAGAGTATTAAAAACTACTTCAAGAAACCATAAGAGATGTACATAAATGGAAAAACATCCCCTGCTCATGGATGGGAAGATTGAACATTGTGAAAATGTCAATTTTACCCAAAGCAATTTATACATTCAATGCAATCCCAAACCAGATGTCATCAACATTCCTTAGGGATATGTAAAAATCAATCACTAACTTTATATGGAAAGGAAAGAGACCTCAGGAAAGCAAAGCACTATTAAAGAAGAAGAACAAAGTAGGAGGTCTCACACT